TTTTCATGCATTGGAATGGACTCATTTAGCATTTATTGATATAGTTAAATAACTTGTGGCTAGATACAAGCGAATTGGTGGTGCAATCAAGAGGTAAAGCGATAGTTAAGGCTTGAATTGTGTTCGTGGCATCGAGGTAAGTGTTTGGTCTAACCTTAGCTTGAGGGATTAGGAGTTGAGTCTTATTTGCTATATGTTAATTGATGAGTACGACGTATAGGCATGGTGACGAGTATCTATACGTTGGTGTCTGGCATGCCCGTCAGTCTTATACTATGATTAATGTGACAATGTTTGTATTCGTTATGTCTTATGTGATGATTTCTATTGTTGAGCAAGGCTTGTGAAAGCAAGGTTGGTATTTGAATATTGAAGAGCATTGGCTCAAATTGTAAAATGATTTATGGAAGTATAATTGACAATTGAACATTTTAGAGCATTGACTCAAGTTGTACATTGAGTTATGAAGTAAATATGAAGAAGAAAAGAAAAGAGAGGATTATGATATTGTCTCCTTTTTCGGGATGTTGTTGTTTTAAAGTTATCTCCCTTGCCGGGATGTTATTGTTTCCCTTGCCGGGATTTGATTGCTGTACTATTGTTCCCTTGCCGGGGTTTCATTATGATTTTATTTATTTCGTTGCCCTTATTGCTTGTGATTGTTGTTTGGGTGAGGAAGAGTATTAAAACACGAAGGGTGATGCCGTGTATTTTTTTGGTGAGAGAGTGTTAAAGCACAAAGGGTGATGTCGTGTATGATTTTGTGAGAAAGAATGTAATAGCATGAAGGATGATGTCGTGCCACACAATGTACAATTCCGTGCCGATTATATTAATTTTTATGGTGAGAACGAGGGTAAGAGCACAAAGGGTGATGCCGTGCATATTATATTTATTCTTATGGCGAGGACGAGAGTAAAAGCACGAAGGGCGATATCGTACACTTGTTGATTTCTGATTCTTGTTGATAGTTGATTTATGGTGTTCCTTATATTTACCTGCTGTTCTTCTTTTATCATTTAATGTTTCCCCGTAGCATGTCCCCCCTCCCATTCTTAACTGTACATTCCTGCTTCTATTTTTCACTGTATATGATTTAACTGCACAGGTTTATTTGGTAGTCTGGTCTTAGCCTTATCACTACTTCGCCAAGGTAAGGCTAGGCACTTATCAACACATGGGGTCAGTTGTGCCGATACTACACTCTGCACTGTGTGCAGATACTAGTACCTGAGTAAGGTTGCTGCCTTCAGTCTAACAGGCGACCCGAGGTAGTCCTGCAGGTGTCCGCGGGCCTTAGCGTCTCCTTCTATCATCTTTTTTCTGCTTTACTTATTCAGAGACAGATTCGTGTATTTTTATTCAGATTTATTTGTAGTAATCTTAGACAGTCTGTGAAATTGTGATACCAACTTCTGGGTAGAGTTGTATTTAGACTTCCGCAGTTTGTATTAAGTTAAAATTATCAAATTTTGTCTTCCGATTCATTATTTCCGCTATTTGTATGATATCTACTCATCACTATTAAATGGTTTAAAACTGGAAAGGGTAATAACTTAAACGGTTGGCTTGCCTAGCTTTCACCAGTAGGTGCCATCACGACTCTCGAGGGTGGAAAATCCGGATAGTGACAAATATGTTTGAGGATGTGACTTAAAATTTTTTAAAACACAAAAAAAAAGAGTAGTTGATTTTTTCTGGAAATTAAAGCATTATACCATCAATCAAAATGCAAACATCAACCATTTGTTGAAGGGAAATTACCATTTGGTTTGGTTTGTTTTACTATGCTGTTTTATTGTGAATTGTGGTAGTCTCTCTTTCCAAGTGTAATATCTTTATTTTTGAACACAAATAATAATGCTATATTACTACCACAAATATTACACAGTTCTTGCATAGTCCCGTAGGATATTTTCATTTTCAAACTTGGCTAGTTTTTCACAAACACTAGTACTAACATACTTTAACTTAAAACTGAAACCATGCTTTTCCTTTAGCAATTGGTGTTCAACAAAACAAGGTGGACGGGCATGATGAACACATCTAGAAATTTTGAAATTCTTCAGTGCTTCCTTTGCTAAGAGGTGGGCTATTTCATTTCCTTCCCTGAAGTTATGCCTCAGGATTGGGTGCTTCAACTGGTACATTAACAACCTGCATTCCAAAATTAGATTTGACAGGTTAGGGTTATTTTCATTAAGCATCAATATAGAATCCGTTGAGTCAATCTCAATTTCGATATTACAAAGATCAAGATGTTTAGCAATATTTAGTCCTTCATGTAGAGCCATTAGCTCACAATGCATGACTGAGGATGCATAAGCTGATCTGCAGTACCTAAAAATCCAGTCACCATCTTTATTCCTGAAAACTCCACCCAGTCCAGCTTCCAGGGTAGCTTTGAAGAAGGCTCCGTTAATATTGAGTTTGATTGTATTTGTCGGAAGTTTGTTCCAATTGATCTTAACTTGAAACCTGTGCTCCTTGAAGGGATTCTTTTCCACAAAGAAATTATATTCACAGGCTTGTTGGAGGATGACCATGTGACAGACCTTATTACTAACATTGTTCAAATTATTGTTGTTTCTATTTTTCCAAATATTCCAAATGGCAAAAGGAAGGATGGTCTTCCAGTTATTTGAGTAGAGGCTTGTTTGAATAAAAATATTCTTTAATCTCAAAAACCAGTGATTTTCATCTTTCAAATAAAAAATTTTTATACCTAATTATTCCCAACAAGAATTAGTGATAGGGCAGTCGAGGAAGATATGTTCAGCATTTTCTTACATTAATTCTACAGATGGTGCAAACCTTATCAATATTCATACCAATGTAGGATAAGTAGGCTCTGCAAGGTATATGATTATGCAAACATTTCCAGAAGAAGAACTTGATTTTGTTTGGGCATTGAAGATCCCAAATCCATTCAAAATCTAGTTTGGGAGGAAAAGAAGGATTGATGAGGGAGTAGCAAGATTTGGTGGTGAAAAGACCGCTAGAGGTAATACCCCATGTCATAGTATCTTTTTTAGTAAACTTATTAGGTATAGGGGTAGCCATAATATTTTTCATAAGGGTATTAGGAATATCAAAGGAGATATTAGAGAGGTTCCACTTACCATCAATTATAATATCCTTTATGGGGATATTAAGATCCTTTTTATCAATTGGACCATATAAATTCTTCCTCAGAGAACTCGCGTCATGGATCCAATTTGAAGACCAAATATTCATATTTGAATTTGAGTGAGGATGCCACAAGATACCATGATTGCAAAAATTCCATCCCTTAAGGATGGATTTCCAAATAAAGGAGGAAGTATTGATTGTTTTTTTATTAGCATATTTATAGGAGATGAGCTTGGTCCAAGGAGTGTTTGAATTTTGTAGTAGTCTCCATGAAAGACTTGTTAAAAGGGCAATATTTTTGGAGGAAGCTTTTTGGATACCAAGGCCTCCTTCTTGCTTACTCTTGGTGGAGAGCTTCCAAGTTACTAAATGGAGTTTTTTAGTAGTGTTAGTACTTCCCCAAATGAAATCCCTTTGAATCTTGTCAATTTGTTTAAGGATTTTATTAGGAAGATTAGTGTATTGTATAGAGTATGAGGGGATGGAATTTAAAGTGCTAGCAACTAGAGTTACACGACCGGCTATATTTAGAAAGGAGCATTTCCAATGGGACATTTTGCTATGGAGCTTGTCAATTATGAATTGGAAATCTCTTGGTTTTGGACTATGGTTCAATATTGGGAAGCCTAGGTAGTTTCCAAAATCATGAGTAACTTTCATTCCAAAAAGGTTCGACAAGTAGGAGGAGGTTTTTGGAGGACTAAATTTTGGGAGGATAATTTTGGACTTAGTATAGTTGATTGATAAACCTGATTGGGAGTAGAAAAATTCATACTAGTCTTAATGCAATGACTAGTTTTTTTGTTTGCCTTACCCATTAGAGTTATATCATCCGCAAATAGGACATGGGAAAAAACGCGCCTTTTTGAGAGATTTTAATGGGATCCCAATTTAGAATATCTGTTTGGTAATTGATGAGTTTAGATAGCAATTCTATGCAAATGGTGAATATATAAGGTGAAAGGGGGTCATCTTGGCGGATACCCCTACTAGGACTAAAAAATTCAGTAGTTGCCCCGTTAACTAGGATACCTATTAGAGCTGGTAGTGATGCAATGCATAATCAACTTACTGATTTTTGGGAGGAAATTAAAGAACCTAAGAGTTCTGTAGACAAAACACCACTCTAGTCTATCGAAAGCCTTTTTCAAGTCAATTTTAATAAGCATATCAGGGGTTGATTTCTTATATTTACGAAGATTATTCATAATATCTTGAACAATAATTGCATTGTCACTAGCTCTTCTATTTTTAATGAAGCTAGATTGGAGGGGACTAATGAGGTAGGGTAAAAAAGACTTAATCCTGTTTGCAATAATCTTTGTAATAATTTTGTAGGACGTATTGCAAACACCAATTGACCTAAAAAATTTCAGGTTGTTTGCATTGACAAATTTCGGGATTAGGCAAATGTAGGTCTCATTTATATTACTAGGCAAACTTTGAGTATCAAAAACCCTGTAACAAAAGGACTCTACTGAGTTGTGAATGATACCCCAGTATTTTTGATAAAAGAAAGAGTGTATTCCGTCCGACCCCGGTGCTTTAAAGGGTTTGAATGAAAAAACTTTATTTATGATTTCCTCTTTTGTTAAAGCCCTGTCTAGACTTGCAAGATCAATTTTGTTTTGGCTTGAAGAATCCCCTAGGGTGTCTTTCCTATGTGAGGAGGTTTTTAAAGTCGTGAAAGCATTCTTAAAGAAGTCTAGGGTATGGCTTAAGATGGAAGGGGGGTCAGTTATCCAATCACTATTGGAGTTTTTAAAAAACATGATAGCATTACGACGCTTACGATTTGAGGCCATAATATGGTAGAACCTTGTATTTGCATCTCCATCATTCAACCAAGAGATCCTTGATCTTAATTTCCAAAGTCTTGCTCTATTTTCAAGATATTATTAAACTCTAATTGAAGCTTAGATTCTAGGTCTTGTAGGAAGAAACTTTTGTGGTAAGCGGGGGAGGTTTGGATACCATTTAGTCGGGCCAGAATGATTTTTTTCTATTTGGAGATGTCACCAAAAGTATCGTTTTTCCAGTCCACTACCATGTTATTAAAAGAAGCTTGAGCTTCAGGTTGCCCCTTGTTGGACCAACAATTTTTAACAATGTTGATAAAGTCCGGATACCTACACCAAATAGTCTTTAGTCTAAACGGTTTGTTGGAGAAATTTATATTACTAGGATTTAAAGCTACTAATAACGGGCTATGGTCGGAGTGTGTTCTAGGCAAATGAGTGACCATAGCTTTAGGAAAAATAGAAAGTCAATCATTATTCACAAAAACTCTGTCTAATCTTTTCATTATAAGGCCTCTAGATTTTTTCCTATTATTAGTCCAAGTACATTTAGAACCTTTATAACCTAGGTCTAGGAGGTTACATTTGTTGATATTGTTCCACAGTGTGTTACTTCTTTTACGGTTTATAGGATTCCCTCCAAATTTGTCACAAGCACAAAAAATATCATTAAAATCTCCCCCACGAAGCCAAGGTTTGGGGTTATTTAAATGGATTTTTTCTATATTTTCCCAGAGTGTACATCTTTTTCCTAGGGTAGTACTTGCATAAACGGAAGAAAATAACCAAACAGAGTTAAAGGGAGTTACCTCTATGTTGGCAGGGATTTCTTGATTTCTCCTAACAAAATCATGCACCTTCACAATGCTAGCATCCCACATGATGATCATACCCCCCGCTTGGCCCTCAGCTGGCACTTCGACCATATTTGTGAAGGGAAAATCATTAAGAAGGGTTGTATGATTTTCCATTCGAGTTTCTAACAAGGTAACCATGTACGGTTTATGAGTATCAACCATCTTCCAAGTATAATATCTAGTTAAGTGCATTGTAATATCTAGTTAAGTACACTTCTAAAAAAAAAGGAGAAAACCACCCATCAAAACCGACTGATGTTGGTCAGTAGTTTGCAATAATCGAAGAAAACCGACCAATTCGTGGCAATCATAACGTCGGTAGAGGTCAATTAAATTAAAAAAAAAACTTGCCAAAAAAAATTGACCGAAGTTGGCTGAATTGTTCCAACAAAAATCGGTCGATATTTTAATTATGTAATTAAAAAATGCACCATCTGGGAATCAAACCGCGATCTGTACTGTGGCAGGATACTATTCTACCACTAGATATTGTTGGTGCATTTTGTTTTAAGATAATCTTTTATTTTATTTATACTCTTTAATTGTATTTTCGCGCGATTTTATTAAAAAAATAAAATTGCCGACCGAATTCGGTCGATTTTTGAAAATAACCGGCCGTGTTAACCGATTTCTGTCGGTTTTTTAATATTAATTTAATTTATTTTAAATGAAAAACCGACTTAAATTGGTCGGTTTCTTGAAAAATAAATTTTGCGGGACTCAAAAATGATTTCTCACATTTTTGCGCCGAAACAAATCGCCCAAAGTTGTCGGTTTCTTAAAAAAAAATTTTTTTTGAAAAACCAACCAACTTCGGTCGATTTTTGCCGACCAAAATCGATCGCTCGACTGCGATCGATTTTTGCCAAATTTCTAGTAGTGTAATTTCATTGTAATGTGCGCTTTTGATCCTTATTACTTGTGAATCTTCCTAAATTTAACGAATTATTAATTGATAATATGTTCAACTAGTCATATGTTACGTTAAATTTGTATTGTTATTCTATGCTTGAGGGTAATATAATCTAAAATAATAAAAATGTAACATTTTGATCGCGATCGATTTTTGCCGAATTTCTAGTAGTGTAATTTAATTGTAATGTGCACTTTTGATCCTTATTACTTGTGAATCTTCCTAAATTTAGCGAATTCTTAATTGATAATATGTTCAACCAGTCATATGTTACGTTAAATTTGTATTGTTATTCTATGCTTGAGGGTAATATAATCTAAAATAATAAAAATGTGACATTTTATATGTAAAGGGATAGACACTCACATTTAATTAATTCAAATTTAAATACATTTAATAAAGTATTACAAAGACCAACGTCAAGATTGATTAATAACCAAGAAATCAAAAGTGCGATTGTATTGATCAAACCACCTAAATATTAGCAAGTGCACCTACAAAAAGCAATGGTCATTTTAAGTTACTCCATCGGGTCTATTTTAATTGATTTTTTGGTCATTTTTGCATATATTAAGGAATTCACATTTTAGCATTAATTAACAATTAAATTGACCACATTAATTTTAATTTGTTCATTGAAAATATAACAAATACTCTTAAGCTTTTTATTTCAAGAACAATTTTGAAAAAAAAGAGAGAAAGAAGTTAATTCCTTCTTCATACCTAAAAAAATAAAAAATTATAGACTACAAAAAAGACTAAAAATTTAATTAAAGTGGACCGGAGGGAGTATATAACAGTATTTTTTAATATATTTATGATATCTATATAAAAGAGCACTGTTA